AACATGCTCATGACCTGGCAGGTTCACACATGGAAAAGGCCAAGAAGGAGTGAACACAGAGACTGACTCTGCTTTCAGGCAAGTGTTCCCTGGCCTAGGTCTGAGCCTGTTGCTGGGAGGATGTGGGAGGCAACAGGGAAGAGCCTTCAGATATTTCATTTCTAGAGAACAAACATTTCCAAAGGCTTTGATGAGTGTTCTCCTTAAAGAAAGCCAACTTTGCAGGGGGGAGAAGGGGGGCTTTTCCTCCCTGCAACAACTGTGTTTCAGTCATTGCTTTGGTTTGGATTAGAGCAGGTATACAGAAAGCAAACGGAAAGATGGACAGCTGAGCTGACTCAAGGAACAGTTTAGAAAACAGGGTCCTATTGATATTCCTAGAAGTTTCATGTTGCTGTGTTACCCTCTGGACAGAGAGCAGTTACCCACCACAGAGAGCACAGCCTGGTTTGAGTGGGAGAGACCTGCCAGTGTCTTATATAGACTGGAGTGAATGCAAGGAGGATGAACACCTCCTTCTGCCTGTGATGTGTCTGTTCCTATCCCAATCAATGGAAGTTTCTCAGTAGTATGTGACTGTGCTGAAGCAGATGGATTTCATCTACTGCCAGTTCAGGCTGAGGGAGAAGCGAATGGCTTTGATGTAGGCTCCTGGTCTGTTGTGCCAAGATCTTCATTCTTGTTGGGCTGATAAGGAAGCTATCTTGTTCTATGATTCTATTACACTGATCTTCATCGTGACATGCAAGTGAACTGCTCCCTCACAGCCACCCTCTGCTTTTGGAACTTCCTTGTATGAAACAGTGCTTGAAAGAGTGCACACATGAACACATTTCTGCATGGATTAGTCTCTCCTTAACTCAGGTACTTGTCTTGGACCTAGTCAGAGAGTGGTTTTGGGGTGCAGAGTAACTGATCTGAGACCTCTGACGTTCCCAGAGGTGCCTCTTATCTTACTATACACAGAGGTCTCAGGGTGAACTGGTTCCTAACAGTGAAAATTCCTTTTCCTCTACCTCACTCCCCTTTTCTGTGATGCAATATGTGATGCTGAAATGCAGTTTCTTTGGCTAAAGCACAACCCTTTCCAGCAGATGAAGGCCCCCCACCACAGACAGACCTGTCCTACTACTCCTATGAGTACGACCCAGACCCCTATGTGTCGGAAGCTGATGTTTTTGAGCTTGGGGCAGACCTGACAACAGCAAGCACGGTAAAAGAAGTGGACAAGATTCAGGAAGTGGTGACCACAGTAGAATGGTGAGCAGGGGAGCGTAAATCTGGTTTGAGAGTCACCCTAGAATGTACTAACTCATGGATTGGGTCAAATGCATGTCATTCCTCCAAAGGAGCGTTCTTACAACTGGTTTGCTAAGCTCTTTCTCAAGGAATGGCCAGGAACACGATCTTGTTAGGGCACCATTTAAAAGTCTTCATGACCCACATGTCCCCAACAATAGCAGATTAAAACGTGACCTTTTAATCTTTTCTCTGCCCAGCTTCAGTGACGTTTCACCAAGACACGTAATGGGAAAGTGACTTTTCTTCCTTGTGTTCTCTTTTCAACAGAAATCTATAATTTAAATAAAGAGAAGAGGCTCAAAATCAACTCCTGTATGAGTTTGATCCTACAGACGACCTGCTGCAGAACAGAAACCCAACGATGACTACTTCCTGATGCACTCAGAACTGTAGGCTTTGCTGCCCCGTGGGGGGGGACCTGGAGCGCTAAAGGGGACACTCAGCATTATTTTTCTGTCAATTTTCCTGCCTTTTCTGCATCCTCTTTGGAGGACTTCCAAGGATGGGAGGAGACCAATATGCTGTGCCCTCTAGGTAAGAAAATTAGGGGCTGGAATTCAATCCTATAGACCATTTCCAAGTGTTTTCTCTACTATTGGGATACTCCCAATGCCATTTCCTAGCTACATTTAGAAGCTAAGTCCAGGCCTTGTGCTTAGCTGAACTGCTGTTTGAGGAAAGATGGCTGAGAAGTTGTCTCTCAAATGATAACAATAAAAATCAGTGTGTTTTGCTAATTCTGCCATAGCAAGAAGCTAATCATCTTCCCCAGGCCCTAAGTCTACTGCACCCACCACAATGCCCCCCAGGAGAAAGTCTTCCCTAGTGGCTCCATATTCAGGGAAGTTCTTGGGAGGTACCTTTTACAAGAGGAAACTGAAATCCACTGTCAGGGCTGGAGGACTTTGTCTACCCTCTGACTGCAGGCTTCAGGTGGGGAGTTTGCCAGCTATAGCAGGGGTAGGGATTAGGTGGGGGAGCCCTCTTTGTGTTGCACTATGTGCTGATACAGGCTGCTTGCAGCCTCCTCAGCCCTTCCCTCCTTGTAACCCTGGCATAAAAATAAAGCTGACCCAAGGCACAGTCCTTTCAAATGCTTGCCTAACTTCACCAATCACTTCCATACTGCTCCCATTGGATCACCATACAAGAGTTGTTCTGGATATGGTAATCTTGTGTACAGGCCTCAAGTCGTGCTGCCCAGCACCAATGGACGGTGTCACTGAGGCTTCCTTTACCTGCCCCAAGCAATGTGGTAAAACTAAAAGCAAAAGCTTTGTATTTCCAGAAGTGCAAGAGCCAAGGTTTTTCGGGTTTCCCTTCCTGCCTGGAGCAGCATTGTTCTCTTTGGAGGAGTTGCATGCAATTGCCTGTTGCAAAATAGTGTTAATATTTTATCTTCCCACTTCTATTGTTACCAGGACCCAGAATGGGATGGAAACTCCTTTTGAGGGTGTTTATTGGTGAATGGAAACAGGAAAAAGCTCAACTCCATTCATTTCTTAGAGCTTGTTTACACAGGAGCCATGACAAGAATACATCCCAGTATAGACATTCCATTCCAGAATAAAGGCAGTTTTCTTCCAGAAAAATTCCACATGGGGACAAACCAGGAGCTGTCCCACAAGCTGGGTATATATATATGTAGTTCCCAGTCCTTTTTGTCTGGGGCCAGATATTTGCAGAATGCAGTTGACGTGATGAAGATCTGGGTCTTGAAGTTCCCAGGAGTTCCAGAGCTGCTTTGCTGGCCACTTCCCAAACCTTCCTTCCGAGCTCTCCTCACAGGATCTGGACATGGCTGCTGCCCAGGTGTACCCACTGCTTCTGAGCAGAGGTTGGTGCCACGTGTCTGCAGTGTGCATGAGCAGACCGTGTCCTCACTGTGCCTGCACAGCAGAAGCACTGGTGGCTGCATTCCTGTCTGGCAGGTAAATAAATGCCTTTAAACTAAATTCCATCTCCTGTAAGCGACTGGCCTGGCAGGCACTGGCTATTGTGTACACACACAGGCCTGAGTCAATATTTATCCCCTGGGTAAATAACAGACTTAGTGTGAGCTGCAACAAGAGGTTTGGGTTTTTTCTCTTCTAAATATCAAAGCTGCACAATACAAACCCTGCTGTTTGCTGGTTCCAGCCTCAGCTGTTTAATGCTTTGAGTCTGGGAGAATGAGACTTTTAGTCACCCTGATAATGCCTGTGTGACTAGCTTCCCACAGAAGATGGGACTTATGCTCTGGATTCTTTGGTCTCCTGTCCTTGGTCCCTTTCTGGCTTTACTTCCCTTGTCTCATCCATGTATGCTTCCGGGTAGATGTTTGAAGTCATTTTATATTGCTTGGTCCTCTCATAGATCCTTGGGCAGTCAGACAGCATCACCACTGGGGAGGAGATGAAGGTAGGGAGTTTGAGCCAAGTATTAAACTTGACTTCCTTCACTTCCCTCAGGCTCTGGTATATGTAATGCACTAATTTGAGATGCAGACATTCCCCTCTTGCTGCCAGCTAAATAATTCCTTCTGGTGGTGCCAGCCCATCAATCACGGCATTGTTCTGTGAGGTCTCTGCATGCCACTGCACTCATCTGTTTGAGGCTGAGTCTCACCTCTGTTTTACAGCTAGAAGAAAATGCAGAGAGACCTGGACCCTCAGAAGGTGAAGGCAGAGCAGCCTTAGTGTCCTTAAACAGAGACAGAACAGGACAGGGCATGTGAGGTAATGTGCAGGGGTTCTGGATCCTGCAGCCTGACTTCACCTTGAGTGCTTCTTGCCAGCTTTGGCACTTGCAGGGAGATCACTAGTGTAGGCAGCCCCTGCCTCCCCCCACATCTTCCCACCAAACTGGCTCCTTTTGGTAGTTAAAAGAAGACCAGCAGCCATAATTTGGAGAGAAAGGATTGATCTTTTTCACCGAGGAAGAGACCAATTCAAGAGTTGAAAAAGCCAGCAAGGACAGCAGACCTGCTGCTGCTTTGGGCTTTGACTTGGTTTGGCTCAGAGATGTTTGCCTTCCTCTGTCAGAGAAATGCTTCTCCTTTCCTTTTCTTTGATGGTCCCTCACTGCAAAAGGAGAAAAGTGCCAGTGGGTTTGTAAGACCCCAAGAGTCCTACTTGTATTGAGTTATGTTGCTGACTAGCTGCAGCAGTGCTAGTTATCAGTGATTTTTGCTTGCAATCCTTTCAATGAAATTAATATTTATATATTTGTAACTGTACATTATGCAGAGTAATCATTACCAAGGTATTTATTTTAAAGCAGTAGTTCTGCTGTTCTTTCTTGTCCACGTGTTTTGCTCTTGCCTCTTTCCCTCCTCCTTAATCAGCCTCAGTAGAAAACAAACACCAGAAAACTGTTCAGCTTGCTTGAAGAACACCATTGAAACACCAGCACTTGCTTTGCTGACATCAACTATTGACATTTAATGCACACTAACCCGATTTCCATTACTGTGAATAGATCACCTGGTTAGAAAACCTCTGTTTGGGTTTAGTACTTGCTGCTTCTGACTGAGTGACACCAGACCTGGCTACCCCAGGTCCCTGTGCTCAGTAGCTGGCCCGCCCTCTGTGTGTGCAGTGCTGCACCCATAGGAGATAGGCTCTAGTTTTTCACCTGCATTTTGCCCCCACATACATGTACATGAACAGTTTTGTTTTGTTCACACAAATCTTAGCAAGTCTGAGTCCAGAAAAGGGTTTGGTGTAGATTCTGATAAATATTTTATTAAAAACTGATTTTAAGACAATCTTGTCTGTCTCTTCTTACATTGTAGGCTGTAAGTTTGTTCTCTCATAGGTTGGGATGAGGACAGAAGTCGTGCCTCTACCAGTAAAACTAAATCATTCAGGAACTCTAAGGATGTTTATTGCTCATTTTCTACCTTGCTGGTTACTGGGATGTGCTTTATTTATGTCTGAGAGGTGAGCTGCCTGCGTCCTGTCAACTTTGTAACAGGGTCCGGTAAGCAACAAGCTTGGTCCCCTGTTTCATAAGAGACAGCTCTTGATTGTGTGTGGTATTACACAAGAGAAGGGTAAGGTCACAAAAATTACATGAGAAGTGTAATGAGCAAGGGTTCCTACTTTACTATTTCCCTATAAGAGACATGATGATTTTTAAATGCTCACTAGTAATACTTTTGTCCCAAGGAAATGATAGATGCCAAGGCTCATCCACAAAACAGGGATGGGTGAATGGGATTTTACACTTGTCACCAGCAGTGGGCTGCCATTACAATGGTGTTGCTTACTAATGGAGCCACGAATGTACCTGATAGAAAAGCCAGTGTTCTGTATTCTCTTGACAGAGTATTTTCGTTCAGGAGAGCACCTTTCCCACAGGTACCTCCTAATATTATTGATATGTTCAGAAATCTGGTTTTGCAAGTACCTGTTCTCTTTCAGTTCTAGGTGAAGGGAATATGCATTTAAGGACAGCAAGCAAGTCAGCAGCAGAAAAAGAGATCCAACATAGATAGCAATCAGCATGCAAGATGCATTAAGAAACCCACACCTAAGTGTAGTGGTAAGAGCATCCCTGGCTATATGTGACCAGAAATGGTGCATGCACTGTTCACAGTAACAGATCTATACATGTTCAGCAGTCCACATCTTGCCTGGACTCCACATCTCTCAAGGAATCCTGAGGCCCAGGTTTATGCAGCCTTAGCTATCCAGACAGGGGAAAGGACTTGTTTCCTGGGAAATACTGCTCACTGCTCTGGATGAAACTTGTGGAATCCCAGCTTTGTCTTCATCTCATCCCCACTGTACGTTGTGAGTGCCTTGGGAGCGAGGAGCTGGGTTGGAGGCTTACACCAGTGAATCTTTGGAACTTTTTGGAGGGAGTGTTTCCTTGGAGGTTTTTAGGGATGTGGTGTTTTGTTTCCTGTGACTGAAGAACCTTCTCCTCACTTTATCCCGGAACTCTTCGGAAACATAGTAGTAGACAAAGGGATCAGCGCAGCTGTTAAAGGTACTGATGGCCAGGCTTATCATGTAGCTGATATACAGGTTGCCATAGAGCTTGGAGTCATAGCTGGAGTAATGAACAAGGAGGAGAACATTGCTGGGTGTGTAGAAGGCCACAAGTGTGAACAGCACAAGAGCTGTGAGCTTCATCGAGTAGGAATAGCGCTTGCCACTGTGCAGGAGGGCTCGAAGCACCGAGCAGTAGCTGAACAGCATCACCACCAACGGGGCAAGGAATGCACAGGCAATCAGGCAGATGAAGTAGTAGAAGTAATACCCATCATCCTCGTGCCTGGGGAGAACATCGTGGCAGAGAGTGACATCTGCTCCATACAGGGGATATGACTGCTGCTGCAGTGTCAGGGGCAGGGTGAGAACAGCAGCACAGAGCCAGATGGCAGTGCAGGTGCAGACAGCAAAGGCAGGGGTGCGGAAAGAGCGTGAGAAGAAAGGATGCACCACAGCCAGGTAGCGGTCGACGCTGATGCACGTGAGCAGCAGCACTGAGCAGTACATGTTGCCATAGAAGAACGCAGTGGTGAGCCGGCACAGGCCTTCCCCAAAGAGCCAGTTGTTCCCCAGGAAATAGTAGAAAATCTTGAAGGGCAGCACCAACACGAGCAGCAGGTCTGCTGCAGCCAAGTTCATCAGAAAGACAGTGGAGGTCAACTTCTCAGCCCTGGTGGCCAGCACCCACAGGGCCAGCCCGTTTGAAGGCAGCCCCACGAGGAAGATGAGGGTGTAGAGGCAGGGGATGAGCCGCACAGTGACCACGCTGCCCAGCTGAGAGCGTGTGGCCTCGTGTACCAGCAGGTAGGTGACGTTGTTGATGGTTGCCTTTTCCCCGGGGATGGCTCGGGGACACGGTGTGATCTCTGGTGTCGTTACCTGCTCACTGGTACTGTTCTGAGAGTAATCTGTTGGAGAAGTGCAGTCTGTGAGCTGTGCAGGCACCCTTGTACTCTGCAGAGTATACAAAACACTTCCCCTAAAGGCTGTGTATGGATTTGGGGTGCCTGGAAGTGGGAGTTCTCTGAGGAATGCTGGTGGGCAGAAGTAGGTGTGCAGGAGTAACCACCAGCAGCCTTAAAGCTGAGAAGTTACACAGTTCCTCTGCCATGTGGTTCCCCAGTGCTCTGAGTGATTGCTGTGTTGTACCCCCATCAGCAGGCCTGCGAAACCAGGGAGCAATTCCTCTGCCCACCTTTATAAAGAATCCCAAGATCTGGGGCCATGCCAGGGTAAGGTCATGGCTGTGGGACTCTAACTTTTAGCTCAAGAATTGGGGTTCAGGTGCTCTGGTTTACGTCTTTAATTTTTCCTTCTAGTTTCTTTCACCCATTTCTTTCTCTTCCATTACACTTTCTATCACCTCCTGCTTCAAGCAGAGTATGCACAAAGCTCAGCTGGAGTGTTCTCCCATGTGAGCTCATTAAAAAATGGGTTTTCTGGGGTCTTATAAAGTTACCAAGCATTCAGTACTTGAAGAAGCAGCAGATTTCCCCCCAAAGATATGTACTCACCATCGTAGTCTGAAGAGGCCAGGCAGAGTCCCCAGAGGGCACAGCCCAGCAGCAGCCTGTGGGGCAGCCATCCATTCCCAAGGGTCTCCATGCTGGTGCAGGAGCCAGTAGTGCCCTGCTGTGCTCAGAGCCGTGTGGGAAAGGCAGGATTAGTGACCCTGCTTACGCATTTCCTTCTGCTGGTCCTTAACTCACGGAAGCACCAGGCTGATCCCATGAAGGATGAGGCGGTTGGGGGGCTGTCACGACATGCAGTGTGTGCTGCCCAAGCAGACACTTAACTCCAGCGTCACATGTGGGCCTGGGAGGGGCATCTGTATCCAGATCCAAAGGATATCGGGGCTGCGCTTCATCGTCAGAGCCAGACGAGAGCTTGGGTGACTCATTTGGGCCTCCTTCCTGCACCAGAATATGCCTAGAAATAACAATGTGGTCAGATTTAATGAAGTCTAAATTTGGTTTAGAGCGTAAACAGAGCTCACACACCTCTGACCTCCTGTGTCTGTCCACCCAGAGGGACTCAAGTGCCTCTGCATGACATCTGAGGTCTTTCCCCACACTCAGAATGCTTTCTGGTAGTGCAGAGACGGTATCAGCCCTCACAGAGACAGAAATGAAGTGCAGGATCCCTGCAGATCCAGGCAATCCTTCCCAGCTCCCAGGGATTACACCGGGCTCTTGCAGCCCCATGTTGTGGCAATTAAAGGGTTTTAGTGCCTTGCAGCCCCTACAGCAGGCTGGGCCCTTCTGACTTCTCTTGGTTCTGCTCCTGCCCCTTCCCTCTTGGTTTCACTGCAGAGGTTGGTTGGAAGTCCTGTGGGTTGGAGCTATTTGCATTTGGAAGGATCAGCACCAGCCTGGAGCACCATAACATGGGAATGAGAAGTGCCATGAACCCCCCCAGCTCCCTGGAGGCACTGGGCTTCCGCTGATAAACTACCAGGAACAGGGAGAGCTGCTCCTTCCAGCAGGAAAGGGGCCTGCCCAGGGTGCACAGGAAGCCTCTGCTGGTGGGTAGATAATGGTGAGCTCCAGCCACTTCAGCCCAGGAAGAGCTGGGTTTTTCCAGAGATGTGCAGCCTCCACCCAGCAGACCATTGCTGCTTGGTCCCCCCAACTCTAACTCCTGGAGAGTACAAGTCTCTCCCATGCTCTGCCTCACACAGCGTTGCTGGGAGCATCCCAAATCCCCTCCCTTGGCTTGTGTCCGAGCCCCAGGGTGACCACTTCCCACTGACTGGGGAGGCCAGTGGGGCCAGGAGGTCATAGCTTGGGTTTCAGGCTCTCCAGTCCCTGCCTGGCCCTGCAAGGGAGTAAGGACAGAAGCTGGAGTCCGGGCAGTAGGAACTGTAAATTTGGCTTGGCAACCTGAGGAGCAGTTCATTTCTTTCTCCTCAGCTTATGAATGGCCTCTTCTGTGGAGGCTGCAAATCTGAGCCTGGCTGCTGTTTGATGAGATTCTTCTATTCCAAGGAGAAAATGATCCTATTTCCTTTGCTTTCACCATATTCCCACATCCCTGTGCCGAGCGTGTCGAGAGGTGGAGTTCCACTGGCAGGGACAGGGAAGATGCAATATTAGATGTTTTGCTTTTGTGATTCTCTCAGGATTTATGAACCATTACAGAATGACTCATGTGGCCACATATTTTCCATGCCTCAGCCAGGATCCTTTCCATTCTGTGTATGCAGAAAATTAGACATAATCAGGTTCAGATAGTGTGCAAATCACAGCCCTGCTTCCTATGGCCAGGTCTCTGGAGTGGAGCAGAGAGAGGTTACTCGTTGCTGTGTCCTTCATTTGTCAGATGCTGTGTGATCTTTAGTGACTGCTGTAGATGCAGAACAGCTTGCTTGGGGATGCTGATGCCAGAGGTTTGTCATGCCTTGTTAACATCTCTTGAAGTCGTGTGATCCCTGCCCTGCGGGGTAACAGTTTGGGTTTCAAGTAATTCATTGTGCAATAGATCATTTCCTGGGAGAAGGAGCTCTTTTATTCCATGGCTCTGATCCCAAAAGATTCACTGCTGGAGAACAGGGGCTTGAAAGCTCAGAGGGAGGGTACAAACACCACCTGGTCCATCCCATGCATCTTGAAGGCTTGGAAGAGCAACCTGTAGAAGGCAAACAATGGGGTTTGCTAATTCTGCTCTGTCCCAGCAGCTCCAGAGAGTTTTCAGCTACAAGCTCCAGGTGTGAAGGCAGGAACCTTGGTGCAGCCAATGCCTGCCCCACGCTGAGCTCATGTTTGCTGCAGCCACGAGCTGACCACAGGCAGCAGTGTGCCACGTTTCCAGCAGTGTCAGCACAGCCTCACATTTTCCATGGGTGCAGGGCTGGCTCTGCCTTCCCCAGCTGGTGCAGCACAGAAACCTTCCACTGATGATTGAGAGGGAAATGATGGCCTTTGGACCAGGATCCCCTGTGGAATACTTCTGGGGGGACAGGTTTTTTCCAGACTTACCTTTCTGCTTGCTTGCAATTTCATTGGCATCACTGCAACCCACTGGATGGTCTGGATAGCTTCTTCTGGTCCTTTCTCAGCAAGATAATGTCACTGGCATAGGGACTACCTTGCAGGAATTAGGCACCATCATCCCTATCCAGCACTGGGTGTTACTGGATTCATCCTTCAGGAAGTGTGTAGTTCAGGATTGTTAGACTTTACTTTAGTCTTTAATTATGATGGGTGGGAGGTGAAGGTAACTCTGGGCTCATAAGGTTGAGTTACTCAGTTCTAATCCAGAGGAATGGCTTAAGTGGGAAGGAAAACTCAACTCATTTACACATACTTCCAGACCACCTCTGCCTGGTTCACAGCTCTTTGTGCATCACTGTAACACAGAAAAGTGAGACAAAAAGGCCCTGCCATATCAAATCCTGGCTGCTTGAGCAATTCATAATTGAATGTATTAAACCATTCTTATTCCATCCTACAAACCTGAAAGCCATTTTTAAGCTGTCTTTCCTTGTCCTTGCCAAAGCTGTCCACTTGCTGAGACCTCCAACTGCTCTGGGGTGATGTCAGCTCTGGGCTGTCCCTCCTCTTGAGAACAGGGCATGGCCTCTTTGTGAGCAGCCCAAGATCTCAGCAAGATGACTTGTGTGAAGTGCACTGTGTCCTCTGAGGCACCACGACCATCACTTTAATCAGGCTATCCCATGCAATGGATGCATCAGGGGATTGTTATTAGGAGAACAAGAGTTTGTTTCCCTGTGCGCAAGGCACACGCTGCACAGAAAGCAGAGTTGCCTTTTGTTATGGCAACGGAAGTGTTGAGAGTGATGTAAAGGAAACTCCTATCAGATCTGGGTCCCATCACTACAGCTTAATTTGCAAGATCTACACATTCATTTGTTGCAGAGCTCACAGGGAACACAGTTAAACATGTTATTACCCAGGAATTCGGGGAGGTTGAGGGAAAGGCGGGTGGAGGGTTATTTTCATGGTTGCAGTTGTATTGGCTTAACCTGTAGCAGATGTGCTTATGGAGTTCGGACCTGGGATCAGTCACTTCTCTTGAACGTCTGCTGCATTTAGCGTGCGAGCACTTGGGGCCAGGCATGGACCTTATTTATGTCCCACACTTCTTATGGCAAAGGTGAAAGAAACCAACCCACAAGGACCCCGCGCTGCTGGCACGGCACCAGGGTCTCTTTTGAGACCTCTCTGGATGGAGCAACCGTGCCACCCCATGCTGGGTGCTCTCAGCCAGCCGTGTGGTCTCCTTTTTACCTTAGCGAGCGCATCCCACACTTACCCTGCACTAACTTCTCCGTGTGGGCAGGGTTCAAGGTTTGCTGCCTGGTGGCACCACCTAAATCATCACATCCTGGAGCCTGTCAGCAACTGCCTGAAGGGAAGTTCATGCAACTTTTCTATTGCAAATTCAGTTGCAGGTGCAAGAGAACCCAGCTGGGGGCTTTTGATTCAATTTGAATCCATTTAAAGCAGGGAGAGCTGCAGACTTTTAAAATCAATATTTTATTTTACTTGAATGTGCAAATAAATATTAAAAAAAACTACATTCAAAGAGCTGGCAAAGCAATTACAAGCCCAAAAAGCAAAGATCCTTCAAAAAAATGGAAGAACAAACTCTTCAATCAAGGTGGTGCTAAGCAGATACACAGCGGTGGAGCTTAAACCCTCCCAGACATTAGCAAGCCCTTCTCAGTCCTGCCCTGCCCACCTCATTCCAGTCCCATCATTTGCTGCTCTTGGTTTTGAGACAATAGAGCTGTCAAGGGCAAAAGTTTTACTTACTCTCTTCAGATTATAAATTAAGGTTTACAAAAGAAAGATGCTTAAAACCACCTGAAGTACACTTAAAACTGGGGTGATGGGACAGGAGGGTGCGGAGACGCACCGCACCTTGGGACACTTGGAATCAAACGCAGTTTAAGCCACAGGTTGCAACCTAGTTCCTATTAACATTTTTCTGTCTCAGAAAATGAGAAGGTTTGGCACAGTTGTCGTCTCCACTGGAAGCCAGCAGAGAGGTGAACAGGACGGAGGTGCGTTCTGTTGAGCTGTCTGGAAGCAAGAGGGGGACACTGTGCTTTGCACCGGCTCACCCCCTGCTCCTGCAGCCAGCCCCCATCAGCTACATGGGCAGCATCTTCCAGCACTCACTGCAACAAGAGCAGGGGAAGAACCTTCAGATCATTTCAGTAGCCAAACCCTAACAGAGACCCAGGCACCGAGACCATGAGCTCTGATGAGAAGTCCTCTGCTGGCAGGGGTTGTGCAAGTGGCCACGGATGCCAGAGCCTGGCTCCCTCCTCCCCTCCTCCAGATTATTTTGCAAAACAGACAAAGAGGCAGTACAGTTTTCTATTAAACATACCCCAAAGGCCCATTTTTCTACTGTCAAGTGAGACAATTGCAAAACCCAATGCTGGACAGTGGAAACAACCCAGGACAAATCCTACAGGCTGCTAGTTCGGTCTGGCAGAAATTAGAACCTAAAAATCAAAGCCACAGCAAATACCAGGGTGGGGAGGATTATTCCCCCCACAAAAGGCAGGAAAAGGCTGGGAGCAGAGCTGAAAGGAGGCTGGACCTGCCTCAGGACATTCTGTTTGTAACACACTCCATGGGCAGTGCGGAGCCCTTGGCTCCTGAGGAACAAGAGCAATGGCACAGTGGGGCTGCAGACAGACATGGCTGAAGTTTCTTGGTTTATCACTAGATGAAGTCAGGCGGTTGAAGTAGTGTTCTGTGTGGTCTGGGGTAGGGTTTTGTTAGGTTTCACTGCAAAAAAGCTCAGATAGAAGCACAGATGGTTCAGTGGAAAAGCTTGTCTATGATGGTTGTGGCTGGATCTAATAGCGCCCGTTACAGATTTCCGTGTGTCACCGCACACACAGCATCTGTGCTGACCCGGCGGAAACAGGGAAGGATCCGGGACAAATCTCAGAGCCAGCCCAACCACTGCGCTGCAAGAGCTCCATCTGCTGATGTTACCGAAGCGGGACAACCCAGCAGGACCACGGCGTCGGGGCATGCAAAAGGGAAAGAGCGCAGAGTCTCCGGAGGCTGCTGAGCAACATGCAAAATACCAAACGAAACTCAACTGAAAGAGGCCAGACCTCGCAATGGATATTCCTCCCCTCGCACCCGCTCCCAGCAGCTCCGGCTTGGAGAAGGCAGAGTCTGCAGCAGACTGTGAGTTCACAAAGCAA